ATTTTTCTGAACTAATGACAAATATCTGCAGTACGGGAAACTTGTTTCTTGAATGTTAACCTCATGAGAAGCTGCACTCCTACAGAAGCCCTAGTGGAAGTCTCAACTGCCACCACATGTCACAGGGCTCTGCACTTGCTCCTAGTGTGCTCTGAGTCACAGAAGCAGAGCCTCTGACAGAACTCAGCCCTGTGGCTCACCCTGTATTTTTCTCACCTTTATTTCCTTTCTTCCAATTTTTATTTTTGCTTTCATGTCTATGAATTTTTAAGGCCTAATTCACATAGCTTAAGAATTATCCTCTTTAAAATACACAAATCAGTGGGTTTTAACTTATTCCAAGGTTGTAGAACCAAAACTATCATCTAATTCCAGATGGTTTTCATCACCCAGTGCCCATTAATAGTCAATTGCATCCTCCTCCCCCAAACCCCAGCCCTAGAGAACACTAGTCTACTGTCTCTGGGGTGTTGTGGACAGATGTCTGGGGACAATTCTGTGAACAGAACCATCTATGAACTTTTGTATAGGAATTCTTCCACTTAGCATAATGTTTTCACGGTCCAGCTACATGTGGTATACATGTATCTGAGTCTATTGCTTTTGATTTCAAAATAGTATTCCATGGAATGGAAACTGGATAACACTTAACGTACATCAGTTATTTGGATCACAGTTTTTACAATTAGACAATTTGTGTGGGTATAACGCACTAGGCACTCTGGCTATCTCACATTTAACTTTGTAAGCAAATGACAAACTCTTTTCCAAAGCAGTGACAACTTTTCACATTCTAAATAGCATGGGGAAACTATAATTTCTCCTTGTTATATCCTTATTTTTATTTATTTGTATGTTTCTTTCCTTGTTTTTTTGTGTATTGTGCATGATGAATATGAGGTGGTGTGCATGTTTGCGGGTCAGAAGATGATTTAGTAGAATCTGTTCTCTTGTTTACTTGAGTTACAAGGATTAAACTCATTTTGCCAGGCTTGCATGGTAGATGACTTTACCTACTGATCCATCTTGCCATTTTTCAATCCCCCTTTTTAAGTTGGTGGCATCCCAGAATGTGTGATGTAGAATTCACTGTTGTTTTGATTGGCATCTCTCTTAAGACGAATGATGCTGAGCATCTTTTTCTCAGCTTCCTAGGCATGGTTTTATTTTTTTTGTGAAGAGTAGTCCATGTCTGTCTTTCCCTTTGTACTATCTTCTCTGTGTTGTTATAAGTTTAGCTTATGCTATAGAAGATAGGCCTTTATCATTTATATGATTTGCAAGCATTTTCTCTCTGCATGTCATTACACTTATTTGTAGTGTTCTTTGATACACATTTTGTATGTTCATGAGATTAATATATATGTTGTTATTCTTGATTCTACTTTGGATATCATTCATTTGAAATCCATAGGGATGAAGAAATAGTTCATTGGTTAAAATGTTTGATCCACAAAAGGGAGGATCTGGATAAAAGTTTGGGTCTCCAGAACACGTTTACATGAAAGGTGTGTGTGATGACTGACCTGTATTTCGGAGACTGGGGAATCTCCAGAGCAAGTTAGGTAGTTAGACTAGCAATTTTAGCTGTTGCATTGGCAAGCTCTGTATTCTAGGTAGGGCCTCTGCCTGATTAGATAAAGTACAGTGCTAAGGAAGACTCAGGGTTAACTTCAGTGCCTCCATAGACATCTGCACCAACACACGTGCACGCATGCACACACACACACATGCACACATGTGTGCAAGTGCAAACACATGTACATACACCACCACACACACATACCTATGAGAAACAGGAAAAAAAGAAATTTGTGCTCATTCAGATTTACACCCATTTTTACTATTTCCTAAATTTATCTTTTCCATTTAGACGAATATGTAGTTTTCGATGAGATATAAAGGAAGAGGTCAAAATCACTTTTTGCATAGGATTATACGTTGTTTCATTCATATGTTGAAGAAAATAGCTTTCTCAATGAATGATCTGGGTGTGGATGGCAATGACCTGATGAGAGACACAAACTTGTTGCTGGATTTTCAGTTCTAGCCTCCTCATATCTAGTGTCACACTATTCTGGTTATAGCATGTTAGTAAGTGCATGAATAAGGAAGTGTGTGTAGTCTGGCTTGCAACAGTTTTGAGTAACTACTTTTTTTTTCTGAATCCTCTCCACTTTCACACAAATCTTGTTTGTACCCAAAATAAAGGCAGTTAGAAGAATTAGCTTCACAAGGTAAAATACATGTTTTATAAATTTCTAAATATCTTGTTTTAAAAATATGGGAGAAGAAAATTATATTACATGGGTATAACCTTTGCATTTAAGTAAATGTGTTGTGACTTAAAAAAGAAATGCTTATTCTCTTCTAGATCTTGTGTGACTGGGTTTATGATTTTAATATATATGATAGCAAAATGTATACCGATGTTTGAGCTGATTAACCTCACATATACTGGCTCTCATAAAACCATCAGACCGCCAGCTACTACTCAGCCCCCTGTGCATAATTTTAAATAGGTAGTTGTTACTTTTTAATTTGTAAAATAAAGGTAAGTTCTGTAATAGATGTTGAATTTTAGGTTCTTAGATATCTTAGCAAATAAGTTAACTTAAATTTAATAGCTTTATTTTATAACTTGACTTTTGAAGAAAGTGTCCTAATAAAACTTCAAAATGTTATTGATTAGCAGTTTTCAGTAAGTAAATAGATAAAGGGCATATCAAGTCAATCTGAACATTTATAATTGGCAGCAGAACCACCTTAAAGAGTTTTTACATGTGAATTCATATACATTCACAAAAATGATTCATTAAAGTGATTAATCTCATTAGATAAAAGATATGATAATGCTGACCTTATTTTGATCTTAGCTCCTTCTGTGGTTCCTCATACTCCTTTTTAGTTGAATTTCACAACGTTCCTGAGGGCCCCCAAGATCCCTTGTTAATCACCATTCCCCTTGCTATAACAAATTCATCCATGTTCAGCTGGGCCTTGTACTTATCAGCCACAGGAAGGCAGAATAATATCACAGCAGATAAGGCTGGAGTAAAGTATCTAATCTCACAGCAGTGGGAATAAGAGGATGAAATAAAATGACACCTCATGGTGTAACTTACTTCCTCCAAGTAGCCTTCATCTCTTAATGTCTCTAATACCTAAAAAAAATGCCATAAATAACTGTAAAGCACATAAGCCTTTGAGGGACATTTTATAACCAAACCACTAAAGATCCCAAATGGAACAACAATGTTGAAGTTCTCTACCTACTTCTTGCTTCTTTATGTTAAAAGATACACATCATAAAATTTACCATCCTAGCCAATTTTAATGACATAATTTAGTGGCCATAAGAAAATTGATATCAGCTGGGTAGTGGTGGCACGCACCTTTAATCCTAGCACTCAGGAGGCAGAGGCAGGCAGATCTCTGTGAGTTTGGGGCCAGCCTGGTCTCCAGAGCTAGTTCCAGGAAGCCAGGGCTGGTACTCAGAGAACCTGTATCTTGAAAAATCAGGAAAAAAAAAATGGAGTTTTTGTTTTTTCTCTTTGGAGGCCCACCACCCAGCTCCCAAATAAATATGCAGAGACTTATTCTTACCTATGAATGCCCAGCCTTGTTGGCTTGTTTCTAGCCAGCTTTTCTTAACTTAAATTATCCCATCTACTTTTTGCCTCTGGGCTTTTATCTTTCTCTATTCTATGTACCTTTGTTACTTCTTACTCTGTGGCTTGCTGGGTGGCTGGCCCCTGGTGCCCTCCTCTCCTCCTTTTCTTGCTCCTCCTTCTTCTCTAGAGCCTATATTTCTCTTCCTATTTATTCCCTCTCTCTGACAGCTCCACCTGTTTCTCTCTCCTGCCTAGCTATTGGCTGTTCAGCTCTTTATTAGACCAATCAGGTGTTTTAGACAGGCACAGTAACACAGCTTTACAGAGTTAAACAGGTGCAACATAAAAGAATGAAACACATCTTTACATTAAACAAATATTCCACAGCATAAATTTATGTAACACATTTCAAACTAATATTCCACAACAAAGGAACATTGATATCATCAAGCAACTGACACTGTCATCCATATCTACAACTCAGAGTAAACCTCTATTCATTACACAGCCTCCATTCTCACAGTGTTCCCAGGTAACTACTCTGTTTTCACATTTTGTGTAGTTGACTGTTGTACAGACCAAAAATAAGTGGAATCATGTAACACTTGTCACTTGGAATCTGGCTTCCTAGTTCTTGGTGTCTACTCATGCTGTAGCATATAGAAGAATTTTATTCATTTGTGTATATATGTATATGAGTGCACATGTGTGTGCATGTTCACCAGAAATCAACATCAGGTATCTTCCATAATCACTCTCCATCTTATTATTATGAGACAGCAACTCTCACTGAACATGGAACAAACTGATTCAGCAAGACTAACCAACTAGTGGCTCCTGTCTCTGCCTCCCCAGCACTGGGATTAAAGACATGTGCCACCATGCTGAGATCTTTAACATGTAATTGAGGATCCAAACTCAGGTCCACATGCTTGTGATGTTAGCACTTTACTGACTGGTCCATCTCCCAAATTCTTAATTTCTTTCATTTTTCAGACTGAGCAATGCTTTGTTTTATATATATACACACATACACACACACACACACACACACACACACACACACACATATATATATATGTGTGTGTGTGTGTATATATGTATATATATATGTGTATATATATATAGTTTTATAATATACATTGTTCATCATTCAACCATAGAGACTTGTCTAATCTCCTTCCCTGAGATTTCTCCAACAAAGTCAATGACACATGGTTGGTACATTAAGAATTGAAGTGGGAAAATGGAAAATTATGCCAGCATATGAAAAACAAAACATTCAATATACATCTCAGAATGCATGTGTAGCAGGGTCCTTTGCTGTTGTTTCCTTTGGGGGTGGGGGCCAAGTAGGCACAGAGTCAAACCACACAGACTCTGGCAGAAGGTTGAAACAACAAGCTCAGTTTATTCAGGAAGAAGCAAGCCTTATATACCCTCCACCCCACCCTGGGGAGAGGTCTGATGAATATGCATCTGTTGGTGTGACTTGGCTGTCTCTCATTGGTCAAGGTCATTTCCAGATCATGTTTCAGGGGCTGTTGCTAAGACCATCAGGCAGACCCATACTGGCTCTCAGAAAGTATCTTTTTTACTTGTTTGGGCCCTTTTTATTATTTTATAGGACATGCTCAGTGGGAGCCAGGGTGCATTGCCCTAACCTTGTTGACCCCACCTCAGGAGAGCTCAGCATAATGGACTGTGCCTATCTTAGATTGTCTTGCCAAACAAGCTCGTATCCATCATTGACTACCAGCCCTGAAAGAACATCAATCCTGGAGAGCTGTCTGGGTGGTGGGCTTTAGGAAGTAGCCTTCTGTATCTCAGTGAGCCATATGTGCATTATCTCTCCAGGAGGACTTTGATCGAGGTATCTGAGAGCCAATAAAACCTGTAGGGTCGCCTTTGTGGCCGCCTTCTGTTGGTGAACCTGTTGCAGAAGATATCTGAACAAGAGAGGATTAGTCAAAAATTTCAATCTCAAGGACATGGATGGAACCCCAGTCATTTTTATTGCACCAATCGAAGTCCTTCTGGTGATGTATAATCGACCTTGTAGGGGGTGAGGCAATTGCTTAATATCTAGGGTCACATGCCAGCGATGAAATGATCTTCACTAATGCCACGGCAGCAGGGCAAATCATACATTACCCCTCTGAAGCTTCTTTGGCCAAAGTCTCTTGGTCTGTTGCCAGACGCACATCTCTGGAGGGTATCCATATCAGTGTGGTGGTATTCTGGGGGAAAATGCAAGCATATCCTCTCCTCTCTCTGGGTTTGGGAACAGAGTGTTGCTACTAAAGGGTGATGAGATCCCTTCAATGCACCAAGAGCAATGGTGTCTCCCAAGGCAAGTAAAGTAAGTGTGTTGTCCAATTTGGGCTTGTATGATAGGGTTAGCATATGGTCCTCAGCCCATGAGCATCTCAAGAGAAAGAGCGATGTTGTACTGTATATTAAAATGAGCTTGAGCCTCGGCCTGGTCATCATAGGCAGGTTGCCAATTAAGGAAGACTGCAGGCTCCAACACAGCCTTCGTCAAATGGTGCCAGTCATAATACGTCTGTAAATGCATTGCCCATTGCCGTAGGACTTGCTCAAAATATGTTGAGTCAGGACCTGATTCATTAGCAGCCTTACGGACCAAAGACAGGTCTGCAAGAGGGGTAGGTATCCATGGCTGGTTAGCCACATCAGGGCCCACATTAACTGGAAATGCCATGGTGGGCATGTGCGGCACCATAGGTAGAACAGGCTGGGAGGTATGCAGAGCAGCTGGCTCGGCAGGCAGACATCCAGGCAAATCACTCTGTGGATACTGAGGGGGTAGCCACTTGAGGCATGGGGGAAATAAAGAGAGGGGCTGTCAGTGTAGGCTGGGGTGCTGCAGCAAGCGTTTCCTCTCTCTTTCCATCCCTTTCTTTCACTTTATGCCTATTCGCATGCCTCTCCTTGTCAGCAGAGGCAGAGGAAATATCAGTCATGGATGGAATGAAGGCAATAGATAAGTTAGTGTTACATTGTTTCTGGTAGTGCTTATTGTGGGTTTTAATGACCTCCTCAGTAGAGGATGACTTTAGGCCTGTGATTATAGACAACAAAATGGGCATAACAAACAACTGGAGAGTTACTCTTGAGGCCACTACCCCTTTTCTAGCCAGGAACAGAATTCTTATCCACAGATCAGGTTCCCACACGTTCTCTGAAAAGATCTATGGAGCAAACACTATTAACTGCTGATCCATCTCTCCAGGCATCACAACCCATAAGCACACACATGCATTCACAAACACACACATACACACACACACATATACATACATACATACACATACACATACATACACATATACAACTAAAAATAGTCAGATGGTGGCTCTTGTTTCCTGAGGGACCAGCCCTTATATGGAAACACTAGGCAAGCCTGAACAAAATTATGTGCCACCCTACTGTACAGACTTACAAACAAGACAAACAAAAAGGAGAAAGTGGGGGTCCCAGCATTTACCTGCTGAAGGGACCAAATTTACACAACGTAGAGGAGCCGACTCACCGAAATATACCGCTCAAGGGGGCTTCTCAACCAGCATAAAGGGAGACAGACCCCGTTCAAGTACCAAATGTCCTGGTTTTCGGCACCAGATGCAGCAGGGTCCTTTGCTATTGTTCCCTTTGGGGGTGGGGGCCAAGTAGGCACAGAGTCAAACCACACAGACTCTGGGAGAATGTCGAAACAACAAGCTCAGTTTATTCAGGAAGAAGCAATCCTTATATACCCTCTACCCCACCCCGGGGGGTGGGGGGTGGGGGGTGGGGGAGGTCTGATAAATATGCATCTGTTGGTGTGACTTGGCTGTCTCTCATTGGTCCAGGTCATCTCCAGATCATGTTTCAGCTGCTGTTGCTAAGACCTTTAGGCAGACCCAGGCTGGCTCTCGGAAAGTATCTTTTTTACTTGTTTGGGCCGGTTGGCCCTCAAGCCCGTTAGGGATGAGTCATCCCACATACATGAATGTATTATAATACCACATTAACATTTTTATGTAGTTTAGATTGAGTTTTCCACCTTTTTAACCTACGTATAGATACACTGCTAATTATAGTTTAAAAACTCATTAATTTTCTTTTTTTCTTACATATATATGGAAGAAAATGCATAAATATTACCCTAGGTACATCTATCTATCTATCTATCTATCTATCTATATATATATATATATATATATATCTCCTAGGTACAAATTTTTAATGACTCTCAACACTAAGATTCATATAAACATCAAAAGTCTTAAGCAATATTTGGTAACATGTCCTTTATTGCTCAAATTTTGCAATCTTAATTTCAGAGAGAAATCCAGTGTTTTCTAAAGTGATAATTTGGTTTCACTATTTATTTATTTTAACTTAGGCTTTCATTGTCACTTCTAAAATTCTAATATCAAACTAATTTTGCCCTAAATTTATCTTTTGTTGCTTAAGTATTGTTATTTTAAAAACAAAACAAAAACAGCAAAAAAAAAAACCTCAAGGATCAAATGTCTATTCCCATCTTCTTTTTGATTGCTAATGATGTAATAAAATATCATATAGTTAATTTAATACCAACATTTTAATGCTAAGGAGGAAACATAACATCAATGTAATTACAACCATGGGCAATTTAGATTTTATAAAATGTTATTGAATTATCACAGCTGCAATGAGCTCTATTAAGAATTGAAGACCAAACCTCACTGAGAATGAAGATGACTAAACTAAATGTGTGAGACAGACAGGATTGTTTGCCCGATGTGATGCAAAGACAAGACATGGGTGTGGTGAAAACTCAAACTGTACATGCAACCAACTGAAACTTGATGGCCACAGCGTTTCCACCCACCCACACGAAGATGGTGAGGCGAGAGCCACCGACAATCATCTCAGGTGTTCTTAACTGTGTCTCTGTTTTGATCAGCATGGCAGAATAAACTCAAATAGTGTAAGGGCTTGTAATGACTGGTGATTTGAAGGTCTGAGTTAATTATCTCTAATATAAAAAACAGATGGCTGTTCCTTCTAGGCCTGTGACACAAATATTAGAGAGATTCCATCATACTAGAAGAAGAATTAACAGACAAGTGTACAGACAATCAGGTTGAAGGAATCTACTGGGCCACTTCCCGTTTCAATGGAAAAAGTCACAAATGTCTTTCAAGTATAGTCGATGGAGATGGTACAGGCAAATTGAGTGTAAGACTCCCTTTCACCACCTGTCAAAAGCATGGAGAAAAAGCTAACATCTTTCAGGAGAAGATTCAAAGTCTTGGTTTTGAGATCATTCTGTCCCATAAGTCCAAACTTGAAATTTTAATTATTATCTTGGAACAAACATTCCCATGCAAATGTGTCATAACATGTTATGAGGACTGCCAACACCAGAGTGTGCTGTCAGGACTGACTAAATAGATTTTTCTTGTTGGTATTGTTCATTATACTACTGAAATTATACTTATTTCAGAAAAAATATTAGAAAAAAAATGCATACATATTTAGTATTGTATGTAGAAGGAATCTCTTACAATACCCCATTACTTAACAAAACCCAGAACAGAATAAAGAAAAGTTCAGAGAGATTAATAGGCCCTATGCTGGTTTGAATGAGAATGAGTCCCAGGGGCTAATATATTTGAATACTTGCTCCCAAATTGGTGGGACTATTTTGGGAAGGATTAGGAGATGTGGCCTTGTTGGAGGAGGTGTGCCACTGGAGGTGTGCTTTGAAGTTTCAAAAGCCTCCCCTCTCTTCCTCCTTCCCTTCCTCCCCCACCTTCCTCCACTTTGTGGATGATATATATGCTCTCAGCTGCTGCTCTACTGCCATGCCTGCCTGCTTGCTGCTGTACTCCTCCATCATGATTGTCATGGACACTGCCACTGAAACTGTAAGTGCAACCCCAATTAAATGCTTTCTTTTATAAACGTCCTGAACATGGTGACTTTTCACAGCAATGGAAAAGTAACTAATAGGGCCAATATTACATTGATCTCATAATATTATGACTAAACACTGAGTGAAAAACAAAAGTAACACAATGACCTTTTTTACAGATTCCTATTGAGGTTGGCAAGACTATATACCCGTAATTTCTAAAATTTTGGTTGTTGTGGTTTTTGGTGGAACACAAAAAGTATTATTTAAATTATGTCTGATTCACTGAAATACACATTATTTGTCAAAATTCAGCAAAAGATGGAAAAACATTTAAACTAGGTTATTCTATAACATACATAAAAAGATAGACAAATTGCAGAGCAAATTGTATACTAACAGGAGAATGAAAGATTTAGAATCTCTTACAGCATCTAACAATTTTAATGGATGCTGATACACTGTGAATAAATGTCTTTTGCACATGACTCAAGAAGTCTGTTCATCTTTTGACACTTGAAACACTCCATTTAGTATTAAAGAATCCAATGTGCATTCCTCCAAGCTAAGAATATAGTGTGACCCATTTTACTACCTGGATATGTTCTCTACTGGTGATTTAATTCTAGTTGTCTTGATTGAATCAGTCATCATTTTAGGGAGATTTTCCTCCTTGTTGATTTGGAATACTATCACTCACCACAACTTCTCACTGCTTTTTCTTCTCATGTGTCACCCTAGAAATATCCCAGTGACATTTTAAAATGAAGTCCTCTAACTGCATTTCAGCTGTCACTTTACTTCACTTCATCATTTCTTATTTTTTATGCTTTTCCCATATTTTTTTTTTACAGGAAATATCACTTGGATTTCTAGAATTTGCATTTTTACGTGTATTTGGGATCTTCAGTCAAACAAGACACTCCCTCACGTAGCCAGTGTTAACCTTAATCTGGCATAACTGTTACTCTACAGCCTCTCAATTCTGTACCTTGGGTACAGGTTTCCAAGTGTTTTGTGCTTATTTGATCATATGAGGTTGCATTTCATGATTCCTTGTATTTAGGATTAACCAAAAGGTAACTTATTGTTTTTGTGTTATGCTGCATGAAAATTAGAGAAATCATTTTCTGGGGCTTGGAATAGCTTTTGAATATAATGTGTGAAGGATAGCTGATACCAAAGACCTATCAGGACATGCTTGCACCATGGTACAGAGGACATGGGCAGCAGGTACTTTGGTAGCATCTCTTCGTGGAGATTGAATGTGAAGGTAGAAGGAGCTAAGGGACTTCATGCTGAAGGATGTCAGAGGAAGTACAGAAATCTAGATGTTACATTCTGAAGCTTCACAAGATCTCTGAGAACCAGTGACGGTAGAGTATATTCTGGATACGAATGTATACATTCACCACACTGCATCTATGATTTCAACCAATTAAGTGTCCTTGCAAAAAGGAAAATAAATGTGTCTATACTTAACATTATGTATAATAGACATTTATATAACATTTATATTAGGTATAAGTCAACTACAGTTGATTTAAATTAGATGTGAAGATGTACATAGGCTTTATGCAAATACCAAATCACTTTATACCTAGGACTTCAGCATAAGTATACTTAGATATCTTGGGGTGGGGAGGTCTTGGATCAATTCCCTGATGACTGCATTAGCTATGGATTATTATGTGTAGCTAACATACAAAAAAACTTTGTAGAGTTTCTGGAGACAGCTTGAAAATATAATTCCAGAGACAGGAAACAGAGATATACAGATCAAATGTGATTAAAGTATTGTCAAAATAATAACTCCATAATGATTGCTCTCTCTTTTCTACATGATGTTCCAGAGTTCTAGTGTCTTGCACTAACCTTATAGCCTATCTTATCTTATACATTCTCAGCCACTTAGAATATAGAAAACAAATAAATAAATGGGGTGGAATGAATTTGGCATACCATGGCAAATGAGCCTTCAAGAATTCATATTGAATGCAAAAAAAAAAAAAGAATTGGGAGAAACGGTAAAATGATTAGAAGGATGCTTCCAAGAATGCTGAAGAAATATCTAAGAAATTATCCACTGAAGAAAACTAAGAATAAATACATTATTCTACATAATTAAATATTTCCTCAGGTAGACATTAAAAATTTGTTCCACAATGAAAAAAAAAGAATGTTTAGGAAAAAGAACAAATATTTTCATAGTTGTCCAAGGAAGACTTGAAACAGCACAGGAAACAGCACTGCCACTCAGCTGTTAGCTTTTAAGGAGCTTTGAATGACCTGGCGTCAGACTGAGAAGTGGACTAAGGTATAGTATATAAGAATGGACAGTAATTGCTAATATTTTGAGTTTCACATGTTATCACATGTTTTAAAAAGGAGCCTCACAGAGCCTGAGAGATGGCTTAGTGGTTAAGAACACTTGCTGCTCTTACAGAGGCCGGGGTTTCTATTCCCAGCACCACATGGCAGCTCACTACTGTCTATAACTGTCTCTGTCTTTGGCTTCTGTGAGCACCAGGTACACATGTGCTACACAAACATGTGTGCAGACAAGACACTCATATACATAAAAATTTGAAAAAAGAAGCCTCACAAAATGCATAATATATATGAACATCTGTTCTCAGAATGTACTGTTCATTAAAGAAGCTTGATAGAGCAAAACACAGAAAACTGTGACATTAACCCTCTACAATATAACTGCCTGGAACTTTCTCCACCAGTCTCACCAGCTGAACTTGTTTTAAACACAGATTTCTGAGCCACACCCTGCCTCAGGATTCTGCTTCGATGATGCTGAGCTGGGTG